ATCTAATAATATTCCTTCTTGCCACTTGTTGCGCAAGTGTTATCGAAATTTCTCTAGCATTTAAGAGTTTGAATGAAGTAGTTTCGCCGTTTGGGAGGTTTTGGATAGATGTCTAGATTTTTTGAGTGATCGAACCTGGGGTCGCTCCACTTTCTCAGAGCATTTTGTCTGACTATACTTTCGCTTCCCTGAATACAGCGTTACGTCCATCACCCCATACTTGAGCTTTTCCGTTTGCGCTGCCATTCTAACAAATTAGATTGCCGTGCTTGAGTTACTTTTTTGGCCAGGATATCAATTGGAAGGGCACCAGATATCACTAACGCTGCATCGTCTGAAAGGGTTTTAAACGCGTTTGTATAGACGCAGTGCACATAGAAGGTAGGTTGCATTTAATCCACGATAATATGGACAAAGGACCACCGCTTGGTACGTTACAGGAGCACCATACATAATCTGACCTATGACGAAACCTTCCAGCAGCTTTCTATCGCGTTATTTGGGCCTACGTGGGTTTATCATTATTTGTGATAGTCATTCCACGTCTGTGTGATGTATCGGCTTAATCACTGGTGGTGCGCCGCTGTCTCGCCAGGCTCCTCAATTGTTGCAGGATTGAAGATAGTGTGTCGGTGGTTGATGTCCATCCACTGGAGTACTTCATCATGTAAACGACTCTCCGACTTTTAGTCTCAATTGGTTCATCGAGCGATTGATTCGAGGTCACTCAAATAATATGTACATGGTGGACTTCTTGTTCCACGCCACTTCCGCATTGGTCGCAGTACGGGTCCACGCTAATTTTTGAATTTAAACAGATATGCCTTAAAGCAGCCTTGTCCGCTCAAGAACTGGCTCGATAGGACCTTCGTCGTATTGTTCCAATTGTTTTGCCACTCCGATATGCTACTTTCCCGGCCTTAACCTCGGGCTATTTGAGTTAGGGTTGCCTAATCTAGGGTTAGGCCGAAGCTGGCGATTACGAAAACTGATTCGTCCACAACTGCTCGGGAGGTGCTACAAACTCGGAGCGCGCACAAACAGTATGTTGAGTTGACTCTTCGGAAGCGACTAACAGTATACGCCTGCGATGTTTTGGCCCTCGTTTGCTAAGCAATATTTCTGATAGTCCCATAGTCGTTGAAGCTGATTTCTCTTACATAGCTCACGTGGGCGCGGGAAGTCAGTCGCTTGTGTGGCACCACTCCTCGGTATTTAATTGTGGGTTTCGTCGAAATAATTATGTGATGGCCAATGCTCAGCGCTTCCTCCTCTACCTCTTTTCGACTCGAGATGAGTATTGCTTCTGCTGTTTGCTCAGCTAGCTTAAACCCAGAGCTATTTAGCTAATTTTTTATTGTGGCGCACAAATTTATTTTTTCTGTTTACTGAATCTGCCCATTATTAAAAGTATGTAGTTTTAATTCCGAATTTCCGAGACTATCAGTTATCGTCACGAAAGGCAGTACATAGATATTCACAGCATTCACTTGGCTTTTGTAGTCTATTAAATTTTGTATTTCATACACACAGGCGTGCTGCATATTCACTTTGGCGATTGATTAAGTTCAGAGCAATTCTCCTCTTGTTTGTGTTAGTCAAGTTTATTGGTTGGCTTCAGAATGCAAGCAAAATGACAAATTCCTAACGCTTGCCTGCTAACTGCTTTTCATATGTATTAGCGAGCCCGTGGGTGTGTGTGGGTAGTAGGGGAGGAGAATTGTCTTATGCATCTAAGTATAGAAACAATATATGTAGTACGTAAGTATGTAGTTAGGGTGCCCAACGAACATGTTATTTTTTTTTTGGAAATTTTAAGACCTCGCCTAACTCCACCGGTCGCGACCTCTAGAAGACCTTAAAAAATCTATAAAAATATTCAATAATATTTCTTATAAAAACGAATAAAATTAGGGGGTAGGGTCTTGAAATTTCCAAAAAAAAAATTAAATTTAGATGGGCACCCTAATGTACATACATACATACAAATACGTAACCAGCGCCTGAAGCCCCAAATTCATACATATTGATTTTATAAGAAAATTCAAACAAGATTTAAAATTCGTAAAAGTATTAATTTTTCATTTAAATCACCCTATGCTGGGTTGGGGGCTATACTAATTTATTGGCGGTATTCTCTTGGAAACAGTTTGATGGCCAATGCAAGGGCTACAGTGCTTTGAAAATGGAATTACTCTACGCCAGAGCTCTCAAACAGAAAGTAAGAGCATAGACAGACGGCAGCCCTTGATCCGGGTTAACTCGATGATTTGGAAGTATCTAGGGAATTAAATGCATTTGGTCAGGATTAAATCCTCCAGCTAATCCTCAAAATTAATGTGGATCAGGCGAATTTTCGATGACAACACTGAGTTGTTTTCTATTGCTCAAGTAATCAAGCAAAGCAAGTGAGTTTGGCGTCCGCTGTACTCGGGTCGAGCGATTGTCAAAAAAAATTAATTTTAATATTTTTATTTATTCCTTTATTTGTATAGTATCTGATTAATATATTTCAATTTATTTTGTTTTATTTTATTTCGCATTATTTATTTGATCGTGAGTTGATTTAAAGTTTTAGACTTTAATTTTATTAAAAAAGTCCACAACAACTAAAATTACATTAAAAAAAATTAAAGCAGTAATTGAATGTATTACAAAAGAAATAAATAAAAATCTTTATGACCGTGGGACTCGAACCCACAGTCTCGCGGCTCGTTAATCCGCATTACTGCCGGCTGTCAGGGTACAATTTTGATCAGATAAACTATGCCGTTAATCCGGATAAACATTGCCGTCTGTATATGCTATAAGCGACTTTGGATGAGGGTTTTTTATGCCGATCAGAATTTAATACAAATTTTATGCTTCTTCTTTATTGATACGCAATGCAGATGCAGTGTGCTTTTTTTGGTGTTCGTGTGTATTCTTCTACTTTATCTGCTTCTTACTATATATGTACATACATATGTGAAAACTCAGCTTATGGGACTTTTTATCTCCCCCTCGTGCTATTGTAAGCAGCCTCACTTCTGTTTGCTATTTCACAATTAAATCAAAGGCCTTTTATTTATAAATTTTTGCGAGGGGTATTTACACAAGTGTTTTAGATATTTTTTTCAAGTTTATTATTAAACGTGTTCATGTATTGTTTACATATTCAAAGCTGGAAAAACAATAGCATAAAAATATTAAAAAAAGTCCCCAATAGCACAAACATATATTTCAAGGAAATTAACATCGCGTTTTCTGATTGCGTGAAGATACATAAGTAGTAAAAGTAAAATTAAATAATTTCACCTGGAAATAAGTAAAAAGTAGTTATTTGTAATTTTGAATAAACTTAACAAAATAAAGTTAAAAATTTTATAAAAAATATTTATAAAAAATTTGGTTTCTATTACTTTCTAACATATAACGTGCTGGACTAGAAACTTTAAATTTTTTCACTAAAAAAAGTGTCCAAATTTAATTTAAAGAAGAAGCTCAAAACAAAAAAACTAAACTTAATTAAAAAATTAACTAAATTGCATTTAAAAAATAAGCTAAATTTAATTTTAAAAAAATTTTACGTTTTTAAATACTTTTCATAAGAAAATATATAAAAAAAGTTTATAAGAACATTTAATTTTCTTTCCTTTTGAAAAAAATCAACATAAAAAATATTTTTGAGAATAAATATTTTACAACCAAATTTTCATTTTTAAAAACACTTACGAAAATTGTCAAAACTTGATTTAACAAAGCTTATCAACAAAATATAGTTAAAAATCAACTATATTTAAAAAAAGTGCTTAAAATTGCTTTCTAAAAATATACATCGGATTTATCCGGAGTTTTTATCTTTAAATTTTTTCTTTCTATAATAATTAAAATATGATTTATTGTAAACTCTCAAAAAAATTTATTTAAGAATAAATATGTTGAAATATTTTTTAAAGAAAATAATTGTAAAATACGTTAGAATAAAAAAAAAAATCTTTTCTTTAAAAAAAACTATAAAATTTGAGAACTTTTAAAAAATTGCAAAAACATCAAAAAAAAATAAAAAATTGAAGATTTAAAAATTTTGTTTAACACATTTGTAAAGAAAATATTGTTAAAAAAAATACAAATTAAAAATTATATTGAGAAAAAAAAGTTTGGTTAGAACGCTTAAAATTTTCAAAAACTATTAGAAAAATATTTTTGTTACTGAGTTACTACAGAAAAAAAAACATTTCGTTTTTTAAACCTTTTTAAAAAATTTTAAAAATATTTAGGGAATTCTTAAGGCGTGCAAAGCGTCGCGAAGGCTTATGAAGTTTTCTTTTCTCGAAAAAAATGTCACCCTCTTATGTGGCGACATTATCAGAGTGCAACATTTTAAAGAAAGAGCATGCAATATGCATGTGAAGATGCTGAGAAAAGAACACGAGAACTTGACAGCCCGAGCGAAAAAGCTCTTGAGGCTTTAACAAAAACATTAGTTTATAAGTGTCATGCAATACCTACAAGTAAAAAGTTTTAATGTAACTTAAAAAAAAAAAATTTATATTTGGAGAAGTAAAGTAAAAGAAAAAGAATCAAAAAATTTGTGAAAAACGCTAAGCAAAAAGACAACGGTCCATTTTAATTTTGTTAAAGTAATTAGAATTTGTCAAAGCTATTCAAAGAAAAAATATATAAATTTACAAAACATTTAGATAAAAACCAGCTTACTTATAATTAAGAATTTAAATTTTTAATCAAGAATCGAGCTTGATATCTATGTAAAAACAACAATAAGATGTCATGGTGGAAATTAAAGCTGCTCATTCGGAGTTTGGTTATTAATTTTTGAAACATTGTCAAATAAAAATTACAATTAGAAAATGCATTAACAAATTTAGATGTTAGGTTAGGATAAGTTTGAAAGACTAGAGAGAGTGGTTCCCTTTATACTTATACCCAAGGGGCCTACCTTGTTATATAATCTCCTTTCCCCTATTTTTTATGTTAAAAGCATAGAAATTTTATTTTTTTAATAATCGAATTTTATTATTTATTTTTCGCATATTTCTCTTCCCCTTTCATCATCTCGGGCACCGCGACTGGGGAATGCAAACACCGTTAGCATTACGTGCATAGCCCGCATTACAATAACAACCATCCGGGCAGCGAATATGTCTTATCAAACATGGCTGATTCAACGTAGCGCATTCGGTTTGACAAGATGGGCCACAGGAGGTGTAAGTCTCGTGGCGTGGACACAATCTTGGAGCTGGATAGAAAGAAGAAGAGCAAGAAATTGAATATTCTTACAAAATAAAAACACACATAGCAACGATTTCATAATTCTTTGTAAACTCACTTATGAAGGATTGCCCGCTCACCACCGCTAAGCTGCAGCAGATAAACAAAATGAAACCGCAAAGCTGAATGAAGCGCGTTTGGGACATGTTTACTTGCTTTATGTTTAAGCTTTTGTTTTGATTAACAGAAATTTAAAATATTTGCTCAGCTTGGCCGCGCTAATCTAAAAAAAAAAACTGAACGTGCTTCGCTTCGGATATGCAGCTGCTAACTGAAGCTTTAACCAGCTAGCTGGCTGTGATTTTATATTGCGACGATGAGTTAAAGCTCAGTTAGTCTAGACTTAATTTCCGTAACTTAACTTTACTTAATATTTTGGCCAACCTGTTATATGAGAAACTATGTTGGCGGTTAGTTAAAACTTAACTTACCGTAAGAAATTTAAGAACCTGTAGATTTTAGGTTTTTAAGTTACGGTCTTACGGAAATTGAGAGCGGTGAGAGAATCAGGCTTACCAGACTCTCGTTTTTGTATTTCTTAAAAATAAATGAAAGCAAAAATTTTTGTTTGCATGAATTTTTTTGATGTGGCTTTTAAGGCGGTGAACTGTTCAACAGCTGAAAAAGAAAATACAAAAACAAAATATTTCCGCTCTGGGCTTAAGTTGACGTGTTGAGTAATCATTGATGATTTCTTACGGTAAGTTAAATTAAGTTAAGTCTAGAATAACTGAGCTTTTAAGATAACCTGCGGTAAAGCACCGCTAACTGTCAATGGTATAGCAAGGTGACCAAATGATAATACAACGTTCAGATTCTAAAAGACTGCACGGCGCACTTAGCTCAAAAGTATAGGCCACTGACGTTCATCGTCAGCGTGGCGCGGTTCATAAGTGGCAGAGCTCCGGGAGAAGTCTGATAAGGAGATGTGATGATCTAGCAGCTATAACTTCTAAACCATCAAAAGAAGACTTTTAGGAAGTCTTCGTGTTTAAGTATTCGGGATTTTAAGGAATTTTTCTAGATTTTCGGATTTTCTGCCGTTTTTCGGTTTTTTTTTCGAGATAAAGATTTGCAGGATTTTCCGGCGCCATTCAGAATTTGGGCGATTCTTCGTGTTTTATTTTTTAGATTTTTTTTGTGATTTAACGAAGGTTTTTGAGATATTTCGGAACTATTCCGAATTTTTAGGACATTTTCGAGATTCTTTAAATTTGTTTTTTCGGAATTTTTCCATGATTTCGCGAATCTCCTTTGGGGCTTTTCGGGATACTTCGTATTTTGTTTTACGGTTTTTTTTTTTGATTTTTAGTATTTTATAGATTAAATGTTTTTGAATTTTTGAAACTTTTCGGAATCCTTTGGGACTTTACAGAATATATCGAAATTTTTGTATTTTTTAATTTTTTTTTAGATTTTTTTAATGTTCTTTTTTTCGAGAGTTTTTTAATCATGTCGGAACTATTTGGGGAGCTTTTATGTGTTAAATGTGAACGTTGTTTTTTCTGAAAATCCTCAAAAATAAAAAGGAACAAGTAAGAGTGTCTAAGTTCGGGCGGAGCCGAACATTAAAT